AATCTTTGCGGCAGGTAATATTACTGTAATCAATAAATGCCTCCATAGTGGCAATTCTTAAACGTCATTCCACTGCTGGTCCTTATTAGCTTTGCATATGTTTTCACCTAAGCTTCTTCCATTGTAGCAGTCTGTAATTCTTTTGCAGAAAATGTTTGTGTTTAAATTGTGCATGGTTTTTCCCCGAGAACTCGTACGTTTGCACTTGTTTGTCCCCTCGTGCATGAGAAGATACGATGGGAATTAAGAACATTCGAGCCCTCGGAAAGCTAACATGTGGCTGACCCAAAAAGTATGCTTGTTTGTGAAACTTTTTGTGTGTGGAAAAAAGGACTAGGGGAGACATGATAGCAGTATTCCAATATTTGAGAGGTTGCCACAAAGAAGAAGGAGTCAAGCTATTCTCCAAAGCACCTGAGAAAGAGTGCAGAGAAGAGCAAGTGTCAGGTTTCGAGGTCGTCTCAAATAAATTGCATTTCAAACAAAGTCTTTGAAGTAAAACTCCTATTTATTAAGCACGACATTCTAAATCCAACTCCATCGAAGCCAACACTGACTTCCAGACCCAAAACCCTGCCTTTCCGTTCCACACTCCCCTGCACTCATTGGCCATCTTCCAAGTCATTCTACCCCTAATCTACTGCTCCAGCTCAAAGGAATTTCCCCCCTCCCATTCCATCTCCTAGGGGATATTATCTCCAGGGAAAATAAGTAGGTGAAAAGTCAAACGTCCCTTTCCAGACGCCTCCGCTTCTTCTCATGTCAGCACTAGAGTAAATGCAGCTTGAAGTGCTGACATCAAGAGGATTAGGGGACTGGAGGCTAAAACATATGAAGAACGGTTGCAGGAACTGGATATGTTTAATGAAAAGAAGGACTAGGGGAGACATGATAGCAGTCTTCCAATATCTCAGGGGCTGCCACAAAGAAGAGGGAGACAAGCTATTCTCCAAAGCCCCTGAGGGCAGGACAAGAAGCAATGGGTGGAAACTCATCAAGGAGAGAAGCAACTTAGAACTAAGGAGAAATTTTCTGATGATGAAAACAATCAGTAGAATGGCTTGCCTTCAGAAGTTGTGGGTGCTCCATCATCCCCCCCCACCAAGCCACACCCACAGAACCGGTAGTAACAAATTTTACATTTCATCATTGCTCCAAAGTCCCTTCCAACTCTGTTATTGTATTCTATGTCTTTGTCTCTGCCAGGTTTCAGAGAGCAAAGGGTTTTGGTCCTGCCTGGTATAAAGGAAATTTGCTGACAGGGTTTTTTTTTTCCCTTGGAGGAAAATCTGAAAGAAAGAAAATCTATGGATGCTTTGTTGAGTTCTTTGGTCACTTTCCAAAAATAAAGAGGATTTAAAACATTGTTTTATATTGAGGGGAAAAAAAAGTAGTTGAAGGAAACCTGGCCCTTTCCATCCTTTCAGCCAAACCTGGTGATAGATTTAGTTTTAGCATGGAAATTTCAGCAGATGTCTATGGAGGGGAACCAACAGAAAATATCTGCTGAGCATTGATTGGGTGGGATGATGGATTGAGAGAACAGCAACAGGAGGAGGTTGGGCGTCTACGGTTAGTAGGTCACTTATGGCCCACAAGTTGGCCCAATTTCAACGGCAAAAAATATAGCAGCGCAATTTCATCGTGGATTTTCAGGAAAGAATACAAAGAAACAGGGGCAAAATTCCACCCAGCCAAACTGTATCGTCTTCTTCGCAGTTGTCTCACCTCTATTAATTCATGACATCACTGCCATGTTCCTATTTTGACCTTGGCTGCTCAGAAAAATTCTGTGCAAATGAAGAAACATATGAAGAACGGTTGCAGGAACTGGGCACGTCTAGTTAAATGAAAAGAAGGACTAGGGGAGACATGATAGCAGTATTCCAATATCTCAGCGGCTGCCCCAAAGAAGAGGGAGTCAAGCTATTCTCCAAAGCACCTGAGGGCAGGAGAAGAAGCAATAGGTGGAAACTCATCAAGGAGAGAAGCGTCTTAGAACTAAGGAGAAATTTCCTGACAGTGAGAACAATTAATCAGTGGAACAACTGGCCTCTAGAAGTTGTGAATGCTCCAACACTGGAGCCCACCATTGCTTCCGCGGATGCGCCCGGAAGTTTTTAAGAAGATGTTGGATAACCATTTGTCTGAAGTGGTGTAGGGTTTCCTGCCTAAGCAGGGGGTTGGACTGGAAGACCTCCAAGGTCCTTTCCAACTGTGTTATTCTATTCTAAATACCCTGGAGCACATCTTGAACAACAGTTGCGCTCTACATCACCCCACAAGTAAACATTTTGGGATTCCTTTTGCCTGCAGAAACTATAAGTAAATCAAGGCGTGGCAGAACCTGGGGATGGAGTTAAAGAGGAATCATCCTAGAATTTCTATGTGGTCTCAAGTGAGTAAAATTCAACCCCCTTTGAATTCTGTTGACTCTTGTCTAACGTCTAGCAGGGGCTAACCCTTAGTGGAGAAGATTCCGGTGTGTAGGCATGAGTAGAAATAAATCAATTTAATTGGACTTTCACATGTGGACCTGATCTTTTGCACCTGACATTCAGTTCCTATCTTGACTTCTACTCTATCCTACTTTTGAGGAGGTTCCATATGCCTCTTCCAATTTCCTATCATACTCTCATTCTCAATCCTCTCTGCATTCTCTTCTCCCCCTCTCAGTTTTGGGAAGGGAGAGATTCCTAAGCCTTTTCCATATGTCTCTATGAAACCTGGGTTTTCCTGAACTTGGTGGCATCTCCCTACTTCATCCCTGTGGTGCAATTTTATGAATACCACAGAGGTGGTATTCAGCCGGTTCGTGCCAGTTCAGGCGAATCGGTAGCGGCGACTGCCTCCCACCTGCCCTGGCGTAATACCATCCTATTTAGTCATGTTTTTGAGTCCGGGCGCATGCGTGGAAGCAATGGTGGGTTTCAAATTTTTTTACTATCAGTTATGTGAGCGTGGCTTGGTGGGCGTGGCAGGGGAAGGATACTGCAAAATTCCCATTTCCTCCCAATCAGCTGGGACTTGGGAGGCAGAGAATAGATGAGGGCGGGGCCAGTCAGAATTTTTACTACCGCTTCTCTGAACTATTCAAAATTTGCGCTACCAGTTCTCCAGAACTGGTCAAAACCTGCTGAAATCCACCTCTGCGTGGAAGGCACGTGTGTGAACAGAGTGCACATGCAGAAGGCCGGGCGCATGCACGAAAGACTCATGTGTGCGCAAAGTGGCGAACCGGTGACAAGAATATTTGAAACCCACCGCTGACTGAGACCTGTTTTTGGAAGAATATGTTTGCCATTGGTATGCAGAATACAATAATTCCCTCATTCTGTTTCTGTTCCTCGCTGTATCATGCATTCCATTCCTTTGGAATGTTAAAGAAGGGAATTTCTAAAATTAATTCCAGAATTGAACATGCATACTTTCTTAAGTTCTTGCATCTTTCCCCCCCACCCCTTGTTTCCTGAAAGAGCATATGTGATTGACAAAACACACGTAAACAAGTGAAATCTAAATATAATTATTCACGCAATTTTCTTGAAGAGTTTTGGGCCTCAGGACTTCTTTGCCTGCATAATTGTACCAAGACTTTGGGTGAAACTTCACTTGAAAGAAATCTCAATGCACAGTCCCACCAAAATGCTCTTTTTGTAGGGTTTCATCAATGTGTAAATTCCTGCCGTTAACCTAAGGATGGGAAGATTCAAGTTACTTCTATTCCATGCCAGTTTTACATCTGTCTCCTGTGCAATGCTTCCTAGAACACGCTATGAATTAGGTTGGCTCTATCCAACATCTTCACCAGTGACACAAAAAATGTTGGAATGGGAAAAAAAACCAAACAAACCCACAAATGGAAGGAATGAAAAGTTTCAACATCATGAAAAAGCTGCATACAGATCATGTATGAACTTGGGAAGAACAATGAAAGCATCCATGGATGTTGATGAAGATTCTCAATCATCCAGGTAGAGTTGAATCATTGCAACTGGACTATTTTTTTTTGTTAGAAGTTATGTTTATATATAGCACCACAGAGCAAACAAAGAGTACAGTCACCATGTGCTTTACTGCTCAACTGTAACAGGAAATGGGGAACTCTATTTAGAAGGAAAAAGCATAGAGTATATACCATAGATCCAAACTTGTAAACACTGCCATCTACTGGCTGAATACTGCTGTAGTTGCTGCATATGAGTACATTCTAACAATGAATTTCAACATTTTTGTTGTTAGTTTGAGAGACGTTTCGCTGCCCATCCAGGCAACTTCATCAGTCAGAGTAAACCAGTTAGGCAAGGAGTTGTTGGAATGTTATCAATCCCTGCCATGCTAACCTCAGGGGTTTCCTCTCCAAAGTGCATTGCAAGATGTTGACAAAGATTCTCAATCATCCAGTTGCAATGATTTAACCTTCAGACAACTTCATCCTTCATCCATTGTTGGTTTATATGCCATCAAAGGGCTACCAACTCTTAGTGACCACATCTTTCCCAAGAACAGAGGTGTCAAGATTTGAGGAAAAAGTTGAAAGAAGTGGAATTTAGAAGTATAGTGACTCAGAATACGGTCAGTGGTGGGATCCTCCCGGTTTAACAACCAGTTCGGGGATCGCTGTGTGCGCGCGCACAGCTTGAATAAATCTTCACTTCCTGGTTTCTTCGGAGGAGTAACACAGCTGATTCGTGTGGCAATCTGCTCTACCATGCTAATCAGCTGAGAAGATTGTCATGTTTGTTGGATCTGGTCTTTGGGTGTTAAGTGAATTTCGTTGTACGGGTATACTGTGTATACACGTACAATGACAATAAAGTTGTTATTATTATTAATAAGATAAAGGTAGGAAAATAGCGCGGGTGGGCCCATTTATCGTCAGGCGAACCGGTTCGTTCCCAGCTGATCGTCGGAGCTACCAGTTCACCCAAACCGGTCCTAACCGGTAGAATCCCACCCCTGAATACGGTACTCAAATATGCAATTCAATGGTTACTTACCTGCTGGTTCCTCAGTGCTGGTAACCACCGATGTTGGGTTGACAACAGGGATTTCTGGGGAGGAAAAGTGAAAAGCTTTCTTAGCTGACTTGAGTTTTCTTTCAAAGTTTGCATGAAAGTTAACCCCAAATTTGATAAACCACGGGCTGATTTTTACAGCTGAGGTGGCGCGGTGGTTAGAGTGCAGTACTGCAGGCTACTTCACCTGATTGCTAGCTGCAGTTTGGCAGTTCAAATCTACTGGCTTAAGGTTGACTCAGCCTTCCATCCTTCCGAGGTGGGTAAAATGAGGACCCAGATTGTTGGGGGCAAGAGGCTGACTCTGTAAACCGCTTAGAGAGGGCTGTAAAAGCACTATGAAGCGGTATATAAGTCTAAGTGCTATTGCTATTTAAAAGAGACTGATTTAACAGTAACAGATGCTTGGCAGGTGGACCCCGCTTTACTAATTTGCAATCCCAGTGGCTGGATTCACACAACAAACTTATACCTACCAGTCAGTGGTGGGTTCTAAATTTTTTTACTACCAGTTCTGTGGGTGTGGCTTGGTGGGCGTGGCATGGCTTGATGGGCATGACTTGGTGGGCGTGGCAAGGGATGGATACTGTAAAATCTCCATTCCCACTCCACCCCACTCCTCTCTCTCTCTCTCTTTCTCTCTCTCTCTCTCTCTCTCTCCCTCCCTCCCTCCCTCCCTCCGTGTGTGTGTGTGTGTGTGTGTGTGTGTGTGGCATGTGTATATGGGTGTTATATATGTGTATGGGTAGATATATATGGTATTTTTTGGAGTATAAGATGCACTTTTTCTCTCCTAAAAGAGGCTGAAAATTTGGGTGCGTCTTATACTCCGAATGTAACCTCGCCCATCTTCCTTGCTGCAGAGGTTGCAACTGACAATGGCTTGTGTTTTTGGCCTCCGCACGTCACCTTTTCAGCTTCCAAACACTCCGTTTGAGAGCCCTTCAAGGCTGCGGGGATCGCCAAAGCACATCGCTGCCAAAAACGCGACATGTTTGGAGGCTGAAGACATGAGGCGCGGTGTCCAAAATGGCTACCTGGAACAGCTGCTGCCTTCTCTTACCCCTTCCGCGTTTCACCTGCTTTAGGCACTGGAGCTCCTTCCAACGATCAGCTGTGCTTTAAAAGCTGTTTTTTTTAGCCCCAACCAGCTAGCGAAGTAATGTGCTAAACCTGACCAGGCTAAGGACTAGCCAGATGAATACCTGGTAGGCAGAATTTTTTTTTGTATTTTCCTCCCCAAAAACTAAGGGGCGTCTTATACTCCAAAAAATATGGTATTTTTGTGGGGGGGGGGAGCAGGCAATAGAATTTCACTTTTAACGTGGGCCAGTGTGCTCACAGTAAAAAAAAAAAAGATAATAAAGGTTATCTTATCTTACTCACTAATGCAGGGAGCTACAGGTGAGCGACTCTGTTGAAAGCCTTTGGCGCAACGATTGCACGTTAAGCCGGTGACACCATCTTTGCATGGACATTGCCCGGTGGTTTGGTTGCAGGTTTTTCCAGCTGCGCCGACAGGGTGGCAGTCACATGCTAAAAAGTAAAAGGGGAGGGGGAGGAAGAAGAGGGGAAAAGCTTAAAAACTAGAAAAATTGCAAGGGTATATAACACACACACATTTCATAATACTGCATACCAGGAGATGCAGAGTTATGTGCAAACAGACCCTTGATTCAAAACACATGTTGGCTGTGACGAACAGATCCTTCAAATGTCCCAATTCTGGCTCAGAATGTTACCCTGCTGCATTGTGCAATTGTACAGGTAACAAGATTCTTTATGCCCACAATCCTGGTTACAGTAGTGGCCAAAATTGTGGAAACCTTTTGGGGAAAGTGTATTTTCTAAAACTAGCTAATAACACCACATATTTTTTTTGGAGTAGTACCATAAAATTATATATCAATGGAAAGATAATTTAATCAAGAATGTAATGCAATAACTTTGATTTAGGATTTGCTATTAGAATAAAGAAGAAAAGTGAAACAGGTAGAAAAAACGAGATATACAAAAATGATCACCATGGAAAAAACGAGATATACAAAAATGATCCCCATGTCAGTTAAGGTTAACGACCTTCTAGGCCCTAAATTCTGAACCCTTAAAAATTGCCCTCTCCTTTCCCCCCACTAACTTAGATGCGCTATTCTAACTAGCATGGATAGCATCAGGGGTGGGCTTCAGATCCTTTAGCAATAGGTTTGCTGCCCTGTTGCTGGGTGAGCGTGCCCATGGTGGGCGTGGCCTAGTCAGCCACCTGCATCACAGCGGGGGGTGGGGAGGTGGGCAGCATTTTTCGCCCTCCCTAGGCTCTGGAGGCTTTCCTCGAGCCTCCGGGAGTGAAAACAGCTTCCCCCGGGCTCCGGAAGCCCTCCGGAGGCTGGAAACAGGCCTGTCTCTGGACTTCCAGTATCTCCAGTAGGCCCATTTTTTGCCCTCCCAGACCCTCCGTGCGGCCCCTGCACTTACCTGGAATGATTGTACGGGCTGCATGGAGACTCCTGGGAGGGGCGGGGTGGGGTGGGAAGGGCAGGGTAGGGTGGGCGTGGCCAGCCAGGGGTGGTATTTGGGGGTTCGCCAAACCCCAGCGATCCTTGGCTAGAGGATCGCTCAAACCCTGCCGAACCCCCAGGAGCCCACCCCTGGATAGCATAGGGTGCTAAGGCTCATTAAAACGAAAGAATTACGGCTCTGGGAAGGAGGGAAAAAGAAAAAAAGAAAGATGAAGGGTAGGTTTCCTTCCAATGGAGAATTTTTTAGCTTTGCCAAAAAGTTTAAAAAAAAAATAGGGGAATAAAAGAGGCCTGGTTTATGTCATGGGGGGAATTTCAGAGGGAGGGTTACATTTATTTATAATGCTCGGCTCATTTTTATTATCTGAGAACTGAGCAGCCAGGGTGGTTTCTGCCTCTTAAGACTCCGGGGGTTGATTAACAATTCTGGACAAGTCTTGGCCCAAAAAAAACCCCCCACTCGATTCCCCCTTTGCTGTGAAATATGGCTTGTTACATTGCCATTAGCATTACATACTTCATTGTGTGGAGATAAAACATGGCCGTATCAGGATTCTTGGCATGTTCCCGCTGCAGGTAGAACTAACATTTCTACTGGAGCCCAGTAAATATATCGAAAGGGTGTGATTTCTCCGTTGTCGTCCAACAACATTAGATGCCGAGGAGCGGATCTCATCGGGAAGGACATTCCTTCTCTTTGAAAGAAAGCACACCACCCCCAAAGTTGAAAGAGATTTATATAGGCTGGATTAGCCGCGGAGATGCAAATTTGGAAATAATTATCATAAATTGCAGAGAAGTGGAAGGCATGTTTAGCGTAGTTGAAGAACTTGTTCTGAGTTCCCTACGTCTCCCTAAACCACCCAGGTCTGTCTGGCTTGTTTGTTTTAGTTCTAGTGTGTTAGACAGAACTAACTAATTGTGGCTTGTAAACCATGGTTTACAATTTAAGCTCACGCCGACTGCTTCAGAGACTCCATCCAGCCACCTCCTTCTTTGCCGTCCCCTTCTTCTTTTGCCCTCCACTGTTCTCAGCATTAGGCTCTTTTCCAGGGAGTCCTTCCTTCTCATCAGGTGGCCAAAGTATTTGAGTTTCATCTTCAGGATCTGGCCTTCTAAAGAGCAGTCAGGGTTGATCTCCTCTAGGACTGACCGGTTTGATCGCCTTGCAGTCCAAGGGACTCACAGGAGTCTTCTCCAGCACCAGAGTTCAAAGGCCTCCATTCTTTGGCGCTCAGCCTTCCTTATGGTCCAACTTTCACAGCCATCCATTACAACTGGGAAAACCATCGCCTTGACTATACGCACTTTTGTTGGCAGGGTGATGTCTCTGCTTTTTGGTACGCTGTCTAGATTTGCCATAGCTTTCCTCCCCAGAAGCAAGCGTCTTTTAATTTCTTGGCTGCAAAGAACCCTGAATTTGAGGATTTTATTCAAATACCCACTTATGCTAGATTTTACTTGGCCTCGTCTAGTGGTGGGATTCAGCCAGTTCGCACCACTTCGGGAGAACCGGTTGTTAACTTTCTGAGCAGTTTGGCAAACTGGTTGTTGGAAGAAATCATGAGGGCAGAGAACCGGTTGTTAAATTATTTGAATCCCACCACTGGCCTCGTCATGCCGAGGAACCAAACTACTCATGGTTTATACCTTAGTGTCTGGTGAAAAATCCATGTTTGTCTATTACTTCATGGTTAAAACACCTCGTCTTAGTCTGCTGGGTAGCCCTTCTAAGGTGCCTTCAAGGGCACCAGAAGAGGACAGATGGTCTAGCTTGACCATCAGTTCCTCCAAAAACACAGCAACTCTGTTCCCAGAGGGAAAAAGCTTCCTGCAAGGCTCCAGCTTCAAAGCATGTTGTGACTAAAGGACAACTCAACCTCAAACTGAGGACTCCGCCACCCGCTGCCATGTGTTATCCCAGCTGAATCCCTCAAATACCCTCATCGGAAACATGTCCATTTCCAACGCCGGCCAAGATCTGATAAGGCCCATTGCATCTGTTCCCCATTTAGAAGCTGCAAGCTTGTTTCTCTCTCTGTGTTTTCAGGAAGACCCCTTGATTTGGGCCATGGTGCTCAGGCAAAATCCCATCTGGTGAACATTAAGGGAGCGATAACATCTCTCTTTGGGAGGGTAGAAGGGTGTGCATGTGAGCGTGCGTTTTTGTTTGGTTTGGGAATTGCGTTTGACTGTTACACACTGATGGAAAACATGATATGAATCTTCCCCCTCTCCCACCTCCATCTTCCAACAGGCACTGGGCCAAAACGGGTTGGTGGGATGCTCACGGCTTTTAAGTGTAACTCTTCCTTTTTCCCTCCATTAAGGACCACCACCAATGGGACTTGAGAGGTTCTGTGCTAGGAAGGGTAGAAGGCGAGAGATGAAGAAGGCAACTAGTAGTAAGGTAGAGGAACACAACGTGCACCATTGGAGGACTTGAAAGAATAGGTTAGGGCAGTGGTGAAATCCAAATTTTTTTACTACCAGTTCTGTGGGCGTGGCTTGGTGGACATGGCAATGGAAGGATATTGCAAAATCTCCATTCAAACCCCACTTCAGGGGAAGGATATTGCAAAATCTCCATTCCCACCCCACTCTGGGGCCAGTCAGAAGTGGTATTTGCCAGTTCTCCGAACTGCTCAAAATTTCCGCTACTGGTTCTCCAGAACCTATCAGAACCTGCTGGATTTCACCCCTGGATTAGGGACAGATTATCTCAGAGAAGATCTACTGATCGGGTTGCTAGGAGTCCAAAATGACTTGATAGCATGTAATGAAAACCAGAAATTGGTACAGCAGAGAGATAGAGACTAACTTGGAAACTTTCATCCTGAGATGAGTGGTGAAATCCAAATTTTTTTACTACCAGTTCTGTGGGCGTGGCTTGGGGGGCGTGGTGTGGCTTGGGGGGCATGGCAGGGGGAGGATACTGCAAAATCTCCATTCCACCCCACTCTGGGGCCAGCCAGAGGTGGTATTTGCCGGTTTTGGGTGCATTTTTATTCTTGACTGATTTATTACTGGCAGTTTGCTAATTTTATTACTGATTCCTATTCTCTTTTAATGCTGATCTTATCTGTTTTATCCAATAATTTCAACTGTTGTAAAGCCTCCAGGGTTTTGCTGTCTTGTTTTTATTTTTTAAAAAAAAATACTACGCAGAAACACTTATCTAAACATTCTATTATAAACCAATATAACAAATCATAGAAATATGGAGAAGATCTTGGCGGAATGTATGAATGATTCAACTTAATATGCCTGCATTTGTTACTTATATTAAAATGGCCAAAGGGCAATCAATTTGATATGAATGTTTTTAAAATCTTCTCATTCAACTGTTTTAAAAAACATTTCTTCAAAAGCCCATGTTGTCTTTAGCCAATCTGTTATAGATTAAACCAGGGGTGGGCTTCAAAATTTTTTAGCAAGGGGTTCTCTGCCCGGTTGCTGGGTGGGTGTGGCTGGTTGGTCACCTGCACCACAGCGGGGGGTGGGGGTGGTTGCCCTCCCCAGGCTCCGGAGGCTTTCCTTGAGCCTCTCGGAGGGCAAAAATGGCCTCCCAGACTTCAGAGGCCCTCTGGAGGCCAGAAACGGGCCCATTTCTGGCCTTCCCAAACTTCCGGTAGGCCCGTTCTTCGCCCTCCCTGAGCCTCCATGTATGCCCTGCACTTACCTGCATCCAAAATGGGTCACTTGGGGACCCCTGGGAGGGCAAAGGAGGGGATGGGTGGGAGGGGCCAGCCTGGAATGGGATTTGGGGGTTCTCCGAACTGCACAGAATCTTAGCTAGAGGTTCTCCCAAACCCCTGCGAACCCCCATGAGCCCCTCCCTGGATGAAACCTCTCAGTTGGTGAGAATGGGATGAACTAACTTTATTTTACCGAGTTCGTTTATGAAATGAGAGTAAGTATGGAAATGTTTCTCAAACCTGGTGATGGGCATGCGAGTTCCCAGATTGTCCCAAGAAGCTTCTTCAGTTCTTTCGAGAAAGCATCTTTGAGAGAACCATG